GGGGGGGAGGAAAAAAACAAACAACAAAACAAAACAAGAAAGACTGACAAAAAATAACACAAAGAAAGAAAAGAAGTAGGAACTAGATTACTTGTGACACCCTCCAACTATACAACTACCCACTCCGAAATTGTGCTGTGGTGAGGAACAGTGAAGCTTTGAGAGCTCCGACCCTCTCGTCACAATTTTTTTATGTTGACCACTTGACCACTAGACCAGCCAGCCGCTCGTAAACCGGATGGAAAGTACTCAAGATAAGACAACACTCAACCACTCAACCCTGTTACCCCCACCCCATACCGCCTCACCCCACACCCACTCGCTCTAACTAAATCAGTTTCACGCACTCTTACCCCTCGCTCCAACAAAATAAGTTTCATGCACCCTCACCCTTCACACCAACTAAATAAATTCCACACACAACCCCTTTCCTCTAACTAATTCCCAACGCTTCCCAAGTGAATTTAGTTTCCTGGACCTGTACTCGTCACTCCAATTTAATTTCCTGAAAACCGCCTCCGCCCCACCCCCACCCCCTCCCCCTTCCCCTTTTGTTTTGCCCTCTTCTTTATGGAATACATGTTATGATTTGGTAAGGCTAGGAGAAAGAAATATCGCACAGCGCGTAAAAGGCCTTGGTTCAAAGTCCTTCTCAAAGTGTCCCCTCAAAGCACCGTTCCCAGACCAACGTTTCGCGGTCACTCGACGCCATCCTCTTTTTAGTTTTAGTACGAGTTTTACGGCACTTGCAAACCCATCAGGTCGCATCAGATGCCGAAGACTTTCTTCACCAGGTATCGAAATAAATGAACATTTTAAATATACGTGTTTTACGCCCCTGTTGACACAGTTTAGATAATTTAGGAGACAGGCCTTGACCGAGCCACCCAGCAAAAGATCTAGATGTTCGATAGAAAGTCTCCCAGTACGGAAACACAATAATGTAAACTCACATTTTCTGCGTGCTCGGTTAAAAGAGGATTATTGGCAAGTGATCTGGTGTGTCTTGTACGTTCTTTCCTATCAAACATCTATCTTCCTCATCTCTCTTCCTTATTTGTTATGTTTGTAACTCTCTTGTAATACGTCTAGTCTTCGTCTTTTATTAAATGACCTAATTTTGTTGCAAGTGCCGTCAAACGCTTACTAAAACTAAGAGCCTCTCCACACTAACCTTACCTTATTGTGTTGCAAGTACCGTAAACAGTTTCCTAAAACTAAAAACTAAGAGGGCTTAACCAATACACCCTGACCTTATTGTGTTGCAAGTGCCGTAAACAGCTTGCTAAAACTAAAAACTAAGAGGGCTTAACCAATACACCCTGACCTTATTGTGTTGCAAGTGCCGTAAACAGCTTACTAAAACTAAAAACTAAGAGGGCTTAACCAATACACCCTGGCCTTATTGTGTTGCAAGTGCCGCAAAACTTTGACTGAATGAAACTAAAATTTAAAAAGCCATACTACTACCCATAGACGCCGGCTACGACATGACTGAGAGTTGAGACAGGACATGACTGAGAGTTGAGACAGGGTGACATTGCTAGTGTCTGTGGGTA